AAAAAGATAATAGGACTCACGCCCGAAAAACCTAGGCCGCGCGCGGCCGCCAGGACCGCAAGATACCGGCGTTTTATTTTTTCGAAACAAACAAATTCAAAAATCAAATAGTAATCATTGAATCAATGATAATGATGTCAATAGCATTCATTATTCATTACAGCAAGAATCATCAGTAACGAATGAAAATAGATCTCGAAATATAGATTATAAGCAGATCATATATCATAACATATATATATATATATATATATATATATGCTAGACAGATTTAAGGAAGTGTGATATTACATAGATTTAAACATTAAAACCCAAACGAAATGCAACAGAAGTTAGTTTTCTATTCCACGTTCCACGCATGTTGGGCCGAGATTCAGCAATCCGCTCAAGTGACTGCATGTTTGCACACTGGACACATTTGACCTCAGCAACACCAGCGAGGTGAACATAGACCAAGGTTGGTCAACATCTTGAATGACAGAATGCCTCCCTAGTATGCAGAGCTCCCAACTTTGACCCAGCCAACGGTCAATGCACTGCACATGGTACCTGCTCAGAATCAGTAAACGAACAAAGGCAGATTTAATTGAATCGTGGAACGACAAGCAACATTGATGCACGATGCACAGAAGAGAACGCTCGCGCGCAGGAACATTTGAACCCCAGTTGTGTTTATCAAGGCTGACTGGCATCAGCATGCATGCGACATGACAACAAACCATGCTAGTCGGCCTGTGCAAACAGGGAAGCAGGCGTAGACGATCAGCTTCCACAAACTGCTCACAGCAGATGGCACAGGCCTCTGGTCACGACATGTTTGCTGCAATGCCAGTACAGCGACCAGCCTCTGCCGGCCCATCTGTGGGAGAAAACGAGATGATGGCTGTCGGGGCGGAGCTGGCCTTAGGAGACCACATTAAAAGAAGGATGCTGAACCCTATGCGCACATGAGTTCGACAGAAAGCGTTTTTCTGTGTTCCTCGACTCGATGTGCTGGTGGGGCTTGCGAACTTTTGCGAACTATACGTACATCTTGCAAAATGAACCCAACAGATCCCAACAGCGGATCACAACTACATAAATCTGTGGAGCACAAACTGCAAGGCCAGGGGTGTTCGAGGGTTACAGGACAAAGGGATCTTAAACTCCACAGGTGGCCCTGACGGGCACAGGCTTGTTACAATATCCGATGAGGGCACACCGCTTTTGATACGCTTTTGGTTACACGGTCGCCTTAACGCATACTTGAAAAATGCTGATTTCTACAACGACTGGTTGTTTCGAAGTCCAAGATTCGACATCCGGCACCATTGGTGGCTCTGCCGATGTCCTGAAAGTGGTTGAGCAGGGAATTGTTGGAATTGCAAACTTGACAGGACATGACACAGGGTGAACGCAAATATGCCTCGCTGGAGATGGCCGGGATCGGGGCGGCCTGGAGCCAGAACCTGCAAGGCACTGCAAGGTGCAGTGCACGAGAGACCGAATCGACGACTCCTCGAACTTCAAAGCTTGAGTGGAGCAGGCCTCTTCCGCCTCCAGGTGCAGGTGTCGTCGGTGTCGTGGAGGGGCGAGATTGCCAGTGTCTGTTCAGGAATGCTCAGGACAGGAAAAAACACCAACTGCGCTAAATTCTTCAAGTTCTGAGACAGAAGACCTGTGACGCTCACTTGGGCGAAAATGGGCGAAAGCCTGATGTCCCTTGCTAGTTTCGCTCGCCTGCGTCGCGATCTGTGATCATCGCGGTTGTGGGTCTGCGCGGCGTCCAGGCCCCAGAGTCGAGAATAGAAGCCGTCAGCATCATCAGGCTCGCCTGCAGCTCCTGGCTCAGCAGCGTCTCTCTCGTTGACCCGGGAATTGATGTCGGGCTGTCGCAAAGATGCCAATCGTCGGGCTTGCACCCGTTGCCTAGCTTCAGCACGAAAGTTTGGAGCATTGGCGGAGGGATCATCCGGATCCCCACTGCGAGTTTCTGCGATGCTGAGAGCAAGTGCTAGGGCTTGATCTATGGCGCCATGCTCAGATGCGGAGTACTCTCCATGCTCCGACATCCGAACCGGATGAGGGACATCCGGCAGCAGTGCAGCGATGGGGTCTCCAAACTGCAGCTGGATCGCCAGAGCTTCGTCCCCGCTTGGAGCGGAGGAGGCTCCGGGCGGCGACTCACTCGTCGTGCTTACTGGGTGCCAATCTCTGCGAGGTCGCCAAGCTGTCGAAGCCGCGTCCAGCCTTCCTGGTCTCGGTAGTACTGGCACTGGCAGGTCACCTGCCTCTTGCAAGCTTGTAAGGGTCTGGAGAAGTCTGGACAGGCAGCTGCCTGCACCTGAAAGTTGACCGCCTGCGGTTGCGTTGGAAAGAGCTTGGGTCGGGGCGATAGGCAGCGGGCGAGGGGAGCAGCGCGGAGGAAGTCTTCCAGATTGATCACCTCCTAGCCCCCGACGAAGAAGCTCAGCCCCTCCCCATCCGGGAAGACACTTCAGAGGGCCAATCACCGTGGCATCACTGCGGAGCAAGATCCCGAGTTCATGATCCATCTCTTCGAAGGTGTCGCTTTCTGTCGGTTGTCTTGTCGTCGGTGTCGTCGTCTTCGTGGCGTGTTTACATGCTGCGTCCCAAAAGATACCGAGCAAACAAACAAACGTTTTGGGACGTCATCAGCTGGACAGGCCATCTGCAATGACAGCCATGCACATGTGCACGTTTCATCACGCTCGCCGGTGCAGCAGGGCAGCACCACTAAAGAATACGGTAAGCCAGAGGAAGCAATTAAGACTAAGCAATCTAAGCAACCTGTCGAGCCATTTTGGCTATGGTTATGAGCGAACTTCTCACCTTTCTGGGCCAGACTTGTCCAGAATGTGGACAAACGTCCAGACTGCATCCCAACAGGCTGAAGCAGAGGCACGCTGCACCTTTTCTCATCTCAACCTAGGCCGACACCTCGGGTTGGTGATCCTACCGGCGGAGGCGGAGGTGACACTGCGCTTGGCCTGGCAAGGAGTGCGAAGATGGCGTAGGCATGATGCTGAGCGGCACCCCAACCATGCTGGCGGGGCCACGACAGTGGCTGCTCCGATTGTAGCACCTGTCATGTTGAAATTTGGGTATGAGCTTCAACGCATGCTGAAATCTTGAAGGCCTGCGACGTATACTGCTGTTGGTGCGGCGGCATCGAGAACAAAGCCTTTCGAGGTGCCTTACCAATCCCAGCAATCTTGGAGACCGCACTGACACAAGCTTCCGACGAAAGCCAGGCACCCCACTGTCCCCGTGGCTTTGGGTCTGAGCGACACGAGCCAAGGAGCTCACACAGCGCTCTTACTCACCTCGCTGTTCTGGGCTGGCGCGCGGCAATGGCAAACCTTGTCGGCGAGGGCGCGGACGAGCCCAGCGAGCACCGCTGGCCTGCCACCAGGCTGGTGTCGTGCGATGCCCCGCTCGGACCATCCTGGACCTCTGGGTCACCAGGATCTCCTACGTAGTGTGCCTCGAAACGCAGATCAGATTTGCCCACTGTTGAGTCTGCTGTCAATGGGCTTTCGGCTGGCGCTGTCAGTGAGCTTGCAAGGATGCTATTCACCGAGCTGACCGAGGACGCCAGAGAGGTAAGCCTTGGATGCGTCAACCACGCTTTCCGCTTCCGGATGCATCATGCTCTCCATGGGCGAGCACGTGTGCGTAAGGTCCGGCATCGCCTTTCGTTCCCACGACGACCCAACACACAGTGGCAGATGTGGCATCAGTGGCATCATCTGCTGGCCTTGGTTGCCCTGGAGCTGCGCTCCTGCGTAACGAGGAAACCTGCATCGTGCAATGCGTCTTCCACCTCAAGCTTCCTGCCCTGAACTGATCCGCAACTGTCCCACACAAGGCCCTTCTGGGGCCTACGAGCAGGTCGTACCGGACCTCTCGTGACAACTCTGAGGATGATTGAACATTACTTCTGATCACCTGCCTACTCTCTCTCGGTGTCCGACATGAACATCATATCTCCAGCGCTCGCAGGGATCTTCCCAGACGCTGCAGCCGGTCACACTGTTGTAGTAGTACCTTCCGTCTTCACTCATCTGGGACAGCGGCACCACTGCAAATCTTGGCGGAGTGAAGTCTTGGGTAGACAGTTCCGTGGGCCAACGAAGATTCGACGAAGATAACTGGTACCAGTAACGTACCGAATGTCGCTAATGGTGGGCAACCGTTGCGATTGCGTGTTGATGTACGCAGTAAATACACAGCCAGTTCCTACCTCTAGACACAGCAAGCCAGAGACTGCGTGACATCAAACCGGCTCACTGTTCACAGCCCGGCTCCCCAAGAGGCCCGACCCACTGCTGCAGTTCCTTGGCCGAGGCACAACATTTAAAATTTGTATTGAAGTTGATCTACACAACAGGAAGTTCGCAGACGGACAGACAGCTTGTGCGTGTAAGTGACGATTAGCCCGCTCCACAGCTCCTGCGTGTTCTACATTCTGCAAGTCAGGCCTTGAATTACCGCTCCTTGTCCACAATGCGAGCTGGACATGAAAGTTTGGCGAAATGCTGCATACCACAGAAATGGCGCCGGAAGCCAGAGAAGTCGAATCGCGCTAAACGTAGGAAGATGCAAGTCGATTCAAGTGTCTTTTCGGGTTGATCCACAGGAAATGCAGCCTCTCGAATTGCCAGAAACCAAACACAGCCATCGCAACAAGAAACAGGATTGCAGCTCAGTAGCAGCAGCTGCTCGAGCCTACGAGTAGTACGATGTGATCCGTCTTTGAAGCGCTGGCTCAGGGAAAACGAAGTGCACAAGAGACGTGGATTGCAAGCCTGGATCTCGGTCAAGATAGCTTCAATTCGGCATGCCTTGGTCCGAAAGTGGAGATGAATGGAAGCGATTCGGGACACCCAGGCTCGGGACCACCTGGTCCAGCTCCAGTTGGTCGGCCTCGTATTTCGATTGCTTTGCATGTTCGCATACACATTCCAAACCTGCCTAGTCAAAGGTGTTAGGGCCCTGACAACGAACGAGCTCACCTGCTGCAGCACCTGTCCGGAGGCAGAGTAGAGCCACATTATCCGGGTGTGCCAAAAAACACACCTCCTGGAATGTTTCCGTCAGCGGATGCCTTGGCCGTAACATCCGTGACGAAATCAGTCTCACGTTGACCAGAACCGCTTCTGACCAAGAAGCTGCCAGGATGACTCATCACGCAACTGGTGATAGAAGTAGAGAGCACCTCCCGTTGGCAAAAGTTCAAGACAACTGCGGGCAGAAAAGGCCACAAAAAAAAATAAGACTTGTAGCCTGAAGCAGCATCAATCTCCTCGGACCAGTGCCGAGGATATGGAAAAGCTGCAGCTTTTCGAGCCACCTCGCAAGGGACTCTCAAATTGCTGGAGTCCACCCGGTTTGTCATCTCCACGCCTCCAAGACTGCTGGAGGGGCTAAAGGCGAGATGCAGAGGCTGTCCAAGAACTGGAGCAGAGCGCGTTGCACAAGCGATCATGACACGACGGAGAACAGAGGCCTGCTGGAAATCCAGGTGGCACCTTCCAGGAAGAAGCAGGCACGCAATGGTACCGTAGTACGGCAGGCTGTTTCTGTGCAACATGATGACCAGGACCAGGGTCCGGACGGTTGGCTCAGCGCCTTCCAGTCGAACAGGGGTGCTAAGCCGCTGCTCAACGCCTCTGCGCTCACCGCCACACTCAATCCTGTCACGACCAAAGCACCTCGGACAGGAACTCCTCTGAGTCACCTACACTTTGTGGATCATCGGCACCGAGCATTGCCGCATGAACTCGCAGCAGTCCGGGAAAAGCTCGAGCTGTCTCTAGCTTTTTTTCTAAGCCTTCAGTGGCAGATTTCTTGTGCAAATGCTCCGAGAAAGGGATGACTGCCGTTATGGGCTGCAAAGCAGCCAGTATGTGTGTGTGTGTGTGTGCATGTGTGCCTTGCCTTCAACCTTGTCGAACCCCTTTCAACCTAGGTCAGGGGTGCTTAGCTGACTCACCCATGTCACGAATTACATTGAGACTTGAGTGCCACAGAGCTCTTCAAGAAGGTCTGCGTACGAGGGATATCTGACCCTGGTAGAAGCCAGCAGCAGGACTTTGAAGCTTCAAAGATTTGATTGGGCCTTTGAACATTTCTATGCTTCTAGCTGGGCTGGGGCTATGACTATTGGAGAGTGCCGTCGCATGGAGTGCAAAGTGAGAAACAGCTGCTGCCACGCACATGAACAAAGCTCGGGCACGGATTCCGCTCGTCGGCTGTGCTGATGGATTATCCCAACCCACTGCCATCCATTACAAATATACGATTTTCGCAGAATTCCTTTAGCTGCAAGCACTGCCAGAGCCTTATGTTGCAGATCCTCAGACTACCCAGGCGGCATGAAACATGCGGCATGGCACCTTTTGTCGCTGCCGAAGATGTCCAAGCGCTGATATGCAATTGTTGTCAACAGTGTCTACAAACAGACTTGTATTTTGCTCTGCGAGTGTTGTGCTGCAGTATGGGAACGGGCTACAGCTTGACTGTTTAGACTTCAACATTCTTGTACCCATCAATGTCCGAGTCCGTGGCTGCAAAGGTCAGCTTGAACCTGGAAGCTTGCTAGAGCTACGGCTTGCGACAAGCATTGGCAACAGGACTGGTAATCTTGCGAAGGCTGGGGTCCACACGCATCCTTCATTTGCTTTATCCTCTTCGGAAACACCTGCAGGCTTCCAGCAAGGCTCAAAATCTAAGAGTAGCTGCTAGCACTCGAGAAGGACCTTGTCAACCTGCGGAAGGCCATCTTGCTTGGGAAAGTTTCCCCAATACCGTTGGTGAAAGTCACCCCAAAAATCCTGCAAGAGACTTGTGGTGCAACAGCTCCACGGCTCCGAATGTCATCCCGGCTCAAGGGTCCTCGATCAGATCTTCAGCAGTCCTTCCCTGCGCATCTTTGGCGTCCTTGTCTGCTCCATTCTTCAGCAGCCAAATTACAGCCTCCATCAACTTGCCGGGCACTTGCCAAACAGAACAGCACGGGCAGCAGGCGACAACGGCCTTGGGGTTGTCCGACAGCACGGCCCAGTGAAGTGGCGTGAAGCCCTCCAAGGTGTCCTCAGCAAACCATGCTGCCAGAAATACAAGGTTTGGACAACACCGACCGGCTCAGTCATCTCAGTCACAGGCCGGTGCGTTGATCTCCTCGCTCGTGGCCTTCGCGAGCATCTTGAAGCCCTGGCCCTCAAACATCGCGCATTGAGCACCTTTCTTTCAGAGACAGGCAGCCACAAAGCTTGAAGCAGCACCACAAAGCACTGCAACTACAGGTACTCAGCATCACCAGCAGCATGAGCCACATGTCTGTCAAACAAGAAATCAGGTCAATTAGGTTCGAGTGAGCCACCGATGTGTGCCACGTTCCAGGAATGGATGTTGTGTCTTCTCTTGGAGCCCATGTAGTCCTGCCAATTTCTAGTGCTTTTCGTGCTAGCGAAAGCGGTGACCTCTGTCCGGTTAAGGCCTCCGGCTGCAAGAACATTGCAGCTTTTTGGGAATCGGGATGCTTCACCTGGCTGAAAAAGCATTCTCCAAAGACACACACCCACGTGCGCCAGTCCCTCGACTCACAAGCAAGGAAAACCCATTTAGGAAGCTTGTAGCTCGTAAAGGGCTTGTGACCAGGCTGATGTTCCCACCTGGCAGGCCACATGGCTGCAAATGCATTCCTTACCATGGCTGGGAACATGCTGGTGCTGAAGTGTGACAACTGTCGCTGGGCGCACTTCACAATTTTCTGCTGCAACCTGGGTACACCGGTTGGAAGACCGTCGTGCGTCACAAGCCTGATCAGCTCGGGCACATTTCTTGAGCAAGCTCACATACTCCACGCACCGACTGCACTCAGCGTGCAGCTCATCATTGCCACCAACAAATACGTCCTTTACCTCTGCCAGCGTGCCCATTCTGCCGCATGAACCGAATGTCTGCGGCAGCAAGCACTTGTCCCACTTCACCAAATGCAGGATCTCTTAGACCCACGAGTGGTCATAGAGCTTGTCCGGGCTTGCCGAAAGAAGTTGGGCTGTTCAACACAGAAGCTCCCATTTTAGCCGCCCCATTTTAGCCGCTACAAGGCATTATTTCAATCCCTCTCCGTGAACCTCGTATGCATGGAAACTTGGCTTAGCAAGGCATGCAAACACTGTTTTATCTACGTGCACCTTCAGCAGCATACTTCTGCCTTTGCAGGTTTGCAGGCGCAGAACCAAGTTCGATCCCGGAACCGCCATAGGCTTCCGGCAGATTCTTCACGTCAATGAACTCTCGAAGTGTCTCGAAGGACTCATCTTTCCCAACACAAACCCGAAGTCTTTCCTGCTGCTTCTTCGCCAGAAAAGGGCGGAAAATTGACCAAACTGTCCTCCACCAATCTGGTGCATTCACAACAAGGACTAGATGCTCTCGATCAGGCATGTGTGCTTGAACAGCATTGAAAGATGCAGAAAAAATTCGCAAAAGCTTTGGAGTAATTTGGGTAATGCGAAACCCGTCCATGTCCATGACGATGGTCAAATGTTGCCTATCATCACGCTTCAACCAAATGTCCCACGTGAACAATGTCTGCCAAACGTAATCATCTCTGATCCGCTCAATTGTTAAACCGTCTTCGTCCAATCCGGAGGAATCCCAGTTGCCAACCCTGTTCCAATAAGTGAGACGACCGGCTTTGTCAGGAAGATGAATGGAAGTTGGAAAATGTTGCTGGATGTTGAAAAAGTCCGGGTTCGGACGTGTGAATATGCCATCATCGTCTATTTCACAGCGCCATTGTAAAGTTTCCATCCACCTTTGCATAGCTTTCGCTTCGTTTCCTTCAAAGAAATCCAACATGTACTGCGGCAAGGCCCTGTCAAGCTTCTTCAGCTCGTCCGGGTCCGGATCAAGCCCCAATGCTGCAGCTTGGCAAGACTTGGAAAGTTGCGAACTTCGAACACCCTGCGACCAAGGCCGTGCAAACAGCGGCCCACCGCACAGAAGACTTGATATGGCAATCAAACACGCGGCCGTCCCAATCCCTGACCGTGTTTTGGCACGAGGCAGCGCATTGATATGGCATTGCATGTCGGATAAAGCTACAACTCTTACCGAATCACAACGCCCTCAAGTGCATTAAGCTAGTTGTCCCGAAACCACAGCAATGACGAGATGAAAATTCAAGTTTGCCGAAGTGTTTAACTTGTCAGCATAATGTCGAGGCACCGTGTGCGTTTGAGCTTGAGCCGAGTGACGGCTGTCTGTCAACTTACCTAAGAAATAAAATCACATCTTAAATCACCAACATGATATGTTGTCCCGATCGCACAACAAAATTCCTGTTCCAAGGTGCAAGACGTTTGAGCTTGGACCTCGCTGAACGACGTTCGCAAGTTGGTAACCGCAGTCCCTAATACGGCAACCGAAGCCGAAATTCCAAATGAAGCATATCCAGTGATATTGTGGCAGGTCCAAGGCGTGTCACGCGGGTCCTGGAAGCACTAAGCCAAGGGATACTTCGCACAAGGTGTCCTGGGAAGGCAAACATGCTGTGGCAGAGTCGTGAAGAAAGGCACGCCAGGAACTGACACCCAAAACGCATTCCACCTGGCGGCTCCTGTAAAGTAAAGCTTGCAATTCTGAAGATTCGTAAACATGGTTCGGAAGCGCACATCACACGTTCAGCACCGTCGCAAAAAAAAAAGCGTGTCATCACTATCCATTCATGATCCGTACAAAAACTTCTCCTCGCATTCGTAAAATGGGAAACTGACGAATCTAAGAGTCTAAGAGGCTCGTGGTTTTTGCGTGGGTGACTCAAAACCTGCCTCTGCTCGGTTCGTAACCAACAAAAACATCACCGCTCAACCGCCATTAACGCCTAGCTGGACTATCCGGCATGCTGGCAGTCGCAGCGAGCGAACTCACCTTGCTGCCGAGCTTAGTGAGGCATCGAGTCGGACCGCACGAGGCCTCTCTCTGGGGAGGGTGTTCCAGCACTCCACTCTGTGATAGCTACAAGCCTTAGTTCGAAACATGGGTCAGAATTCGATACTTCGGAGCACTGTCGATTCGCAGGCCTACGGCTCGCAGCTCTGACGATCTTAGGGGCTCTAAAGTCCTTGCAAAACGGGCTTTAGACGAACTTTAAGGGCGCGCCACTTGCCAGCAGCTGACGAGCACTCGCCAGCAGCTTACGAGCTACTTACGAGCACTCGCCAGCAGCTTACGAGCTGCTTGCTGGCAACTTACGAGCACTCGCCAGCAGCTCACGAGCGACTTTCGAGCCGCAACGCAGCGACTTTCGAACCGCAACAGCAGCTTGCGAGCGACTTAAGAGCTGCAGCCCAGCAGCTTACGAGCTACTCGCTGGCAACTTACGAGCACTCGCCAGCAGCTTACGAGCTACTTGCTGGCAACTTACGAGCACTCGCCAGCAGCTCACGAGCGACTTTCGAGCCGCAAACCAGCAGCGCTCGAGCTGCTTCCACGCCCTCCGCGCCAACAAAGCGCGCGTAAGTGCGCGTCGCTCCCCAAACAGCTCCGAAGCACGACAGCGCGCCTCCAAACAGCTCGCGAGCCCCCTTCGCGCCCTCAAACTGCTTCCGATGCCGCGCGCGCCCGTTTTGCAAGCACTTTAGAGCCCCTACGATCGCGAGCCCTACGGCCTCCAGCCCTCAAAATCGACAGGCCCTCCAAGTACCGAATTCTAGCCTACGTCTCGAAACTAGCCTCGTAGCTACTACAGAGTGGAGACCTGGAAGACCCTCCCCAGAGAGAGAAAACTGAGGGAAAACCCTCCGCGAGACAGGCGAGACAGGCTTGAGACAGGCTTAGTCTATTTAGACTCTTGTCTCAGCTGTCTCGCCTGTCTCGCTGTCTCCCTCCGCCCGCTCCGTCCGTCCGTCCGAGGGGCACGCTGAGCTGGGGCCTAGGGTTGATGATCCACCCTTGTGGGGAGAGGCTCTAGGTTGTGGCACGGCGGTCCCAGCGAGTGGAGGTGGTGCCTGACTGTTCAAAGCTCAATTGGGGGGTTATCAGTATCCCCCAGCCACCGATGAAGCTCGCGCCGGTCCGTGAGGCACCGGGGAGTCGTCCAGGGAATGGGGCGGCTCCGAAGCCTCACCACCCCCGCCAGGCCTGTGTGCCTGTGTGGGATACCCTCTCAGTCCCCCTCCGAGGGGGGCTGTCGGGGAACGGAATGCTGCCCGTTTTCTTGCAGCATCTGTCGCCCCCAGTCGGGGCGTGTGGGGAACGAAACTATGGCCTTTTTTTTGCAGCTTTTTTCAACCAAAGAGCAAAGTCGGAATTCCGACCTTGCTCCCAACACTCACATTCAAGCCATTTGTTCATCAAAAACGGGCCGGTGGCACAACTCATCAAATCTGATGAATGATGACACCCCCCACAAAACGTCACTCAATAGCTCCAAAACGGGCCGGTGTCACAATTAGTCAGATTTGACTAAACCTGTGAAAGTTTAAACCCTTAAACCAGTGTTCTTGTTACAACCACGGCGCGAGCTTGGATTCTTTTCTCACTTGCTGCTCCGCTGTCGGGCTGTCTTGAGCCTACGTTTGACCTGCGGTGAAACACTGGATTCCTGTATGTAAATGGGCATGAAGGAAAATTGAACTATCTGTTACGCCCTCATCACGTACACAGCTTTGTCGTGTCACGTGATCCTTGTGAAACTTTTCCTACTTCTACCACAGTTTTCGCATGCTCCTGTGAGCTTCATCTTCTCTTCTCGCACGCTTCTTTGAGCACTTGTTGAACATCTTTATCCTTTTCTTCCTTTGGTCTTCATCCTCAATCTTCAGATGTCCTATAGCAGATTTGCGAATTTCCATTCCACACACGATTGGCATGGACTCACTCGGAAACTAAGTCACTGCTAAAATGCGCACTCACTTTTTCTATGGGTTCACCTGCTTCTTTGGTGGTGTCCCTTCTGGCTCGCTTGGCTTCTCCTTGCTGTGATCCAACCTTGCCTTCACTGCCTTTTCAATCGAGTCGTCTGTCGCCTCCTTGAACTGATCTCTCAGCTTGTGCTTCAATGCTATCTGCTTCTCCTTGGAATTCGCTGCCTTTCTCTCTTCTTCAGAAATTGTCGGTCCTCCTTTGAGAACGCTTGGCACTTTCTTTGGCATTGCCTTTATCTTTGCTGTTGGCGTTGTTGGGTTGCCTGCCTCGCTTTTTCTCTTGATCGACGCCATCAGCTTTGCTAGGGCTTGTCGCTCCTTCTCTTCATCTGGCTTTGGTCTTGTGTACAGATCTAGGCTTTTGAACTCTTCGCTTAGAGCTGACAGTAGCTTGTCTGCCGTCTGCACGACTTCTCCTAGCTGCTGTAAAGCACTTCTCACGTTGCTTGTCTTCTCAACATCTCCTCTGCGACTGCATCTTCTTCGGGTTCTCGCACTTTCTTCATCTTAGCCTCGAGCTTTTCTTTCATCTCCTGCTTGAGTTCTTGCTCGTATCTATCCATCTCTTCTCGGGCTTGCTTGTAAGCTTCTTCAGCTTTTCTTTCGTCCTCCGTGAGCACGGACATACTCTCCATATACTCTTGCATGTTGTCTTCCACTTTTGCTAAAAACTCTGCGGTCCTTAAACCGTACCCCGATGGGAGTCTTGAGACGGGGCGTCTCATCTGCTCTTGCCACATCACGAATTCTCTTTCTAGAACCGTTGTTGGCATTGATCGTCGAATGCTTTCGACGTTCAGCTGTCCCAAAACTGTTGGGAATATAGACATTGTGTCTACGTTGAAACCACTTCTGAGGACTTCCATTGCCTCGCGGTTTTCCTCGTCAGAGGATTGAACTACCGCTTCTTCGGCATCTCCTTTTTCCTGCTTCTCTTGTGGCTTCTCTTCTTCTTTCTTCTCTTCTTCTTGCTTCTCCTCTTCTTTTGGCTTTTCTTTTTCTTCTTCCATTGGCTTCTCTTCTTCCTGAGGCTTCTCTTCTTCCTGAAGCTTCTCTTCTTCCTGAGGCTTCTCTTCTTCCTGAGGCTTCTCTTCTTCTGCCTTCTCCGCAACTCTATCCGCTTCTGCTCGTACCTCTGTTCTTCTTTCCTTGGCTGCTGCCTTCATCTCTTCCAGCTGCTGCAGCTTTTCATCCATGATCTCCCCTTGTTCTCTTATCTTTTCCTGGATGTCTTCAGGTATCCGAACAGTTCTTTGCTCCAACGCTGCGAAGTTAGCTTCCTTCGACCTCTTCAACCTTTCAGCCTCTTCTGCCAATTCTTCTGCAGTTTTTTCTTGAACGTCTCCAAATCTTCTTCCTTCTTGTCTTCAGGTACTTCTTCTTCATCGTCCTTTTCTGCTGACTCGCTTTCTTTGGACTCATCGGACTCTGGATCCGACGCTGCTTCACTTTCTTCCTTTTTCTCTGACTGCTCTTCTTTCTTTTTGTCAACTGACTTGACTTCATACTGCTGATTAAGAGCTTGCACCTCCTTCCAGAGGTCGTCAGCAATTGGCCTTTTCGACCGTTCTGTTTTGAGCACTTTTTCGAGGTAAGTGGTAGCCTCGATGCTTCTGCTGCACTCCATGATCATGTACTTGACTGCTTCATCGTCTGCCATTGCTCTTGTCCTATCTTCTTCTTTTTCTTCTTCTTTCAGGACTTCTTTCTTGAGCAAAATGGCTGCGCTTGCAACTTTATGCATAATCGCTGATATGAACATGCACAACAGTATGCACACTACACTTGCTCTTCCCAGTCCTTGTTCACCTTCTTCGCCGAATCTTCTTGCTTCAGCCAACGATAACAACACTGCGGTCGTAACCGTCTGGATAATCCTTGTAATCATCCTTTCATCGAATCTTGGAACACTTCTTGTTCTTGTCCTTCTCACTTCAGCTTCTTGTGCTTCTTGATCGCTTGGTGTCAATAATTCACCTGTGTATCCTAAGCCTAGCATGTACTTGCGTATCTTCTCTCGTGTCAGGGATTTGGTCCCTAGGTCTGAGGGATTGTCCTTTCCTGCTATCGCCTTTATGATAAGCTTCGGGATTCTTTGGATCCATAAATGGTCCACTTGTAAATGGCGTGCTCTTCTAAGCCTTTTCTTGAGATCAACTGTCT